TATGTTGTAAATAGTTAATTAGTGTGAGTGAAACATGTCAGATGAATTCAGTTCATCCTCTTCTCTGCTTTTGTTTCACATTTTGTATCTTTCACTGAAAAGTAAATACGTTTTGCCCTGGAATTAATGTGCATACTCATTCGTTCCATAGCAGTTACACAGTAAAAACAAAACAAGCAAATTTGAATTCTAGTTCCAAGCCAAATTTATCATCTTAATTGATCCACAGAAGTCCCTGAATGACATATTGCGCAATCAGACGATCGGATGTTGAGAGTCTGTCCTGATTGTTGGGTTTAGTCTCACCTTGGTAATTGATGATGGGGGAGCACGACTTAAAAGGTGGGGGCAGTCCTCACCCATCAGACTAGTCTTTTGAGTTGTATAGGTTCAGGAGTTAAAGTTGTGACTCTGGTTGGACCTGTGGTGAAGCAGGCCCAACGTGACTTGAGTGGTCCACGGTTTGTGGGCCGGGCTGCGCACTTCTAACACTCATGAGGTAGCCGTTTCTCATCTCGCCGTAAGAGTGATCTAAATTTATCTAGCACGAATGATCCAGGGTGTGTTTCAGCAATAAAGCTGAAATTCCCTGATGCTTCTCATGCTTAATTACATTAATTCATCCATGCACGTAAACACAGGCTTATATAGCTAGCTCTCTCTCGTTTATAATTACCTCTCATATAGCTATTTTCCTATGTTATGGAGAAATCGTTCAAATAATCGTAGAAGGAAGAAAGCTGTTTTTCTAGTATGTTCTAAGCTAGCATGCATCTAGTGTATGTTGATCGCACAGACAAGATGTGAGGCAGAACTCAAGTGTATGTGTCTGTATATATAAGCAAGGAGAGCATGCCGTCCCACTCATTATTAGCCCTGTGGATCGCACTAAACATACAGGAGTAGTACTCTGTCAAGAAAAAAAATCGTAGCTATAAATTTGGACACGTATATGTCCAGCTTCATGATTAGAATTAGGTTTTTAATGTAATGGAGGTGGTTATTTGCTACTTCCTCCGTTTCATATTATAAGACTTTCTAGCATTGTTCACATTTATATATATGTTAATGTTATACGAGCATTATTGGATTAGCCAATTAATTGAGAGCGTACCTTGTCTATACTTCCATCCTATCTAGTGTACTGGCCTTGCACATTCCAACCAATACTATAGAACTCGACAAATTAATAATATCTCTACACAAAAAGAACTCGACAAATTAATTCGTCCGGGTTAATAAAGGGGAGATGAGAATTTGTCCCATCACATTATTTTTTATTTTGATTTATTTTTATCTTTATTTTTTTTGTTATTTTAATAAATTTATGGCTGTGTTTTTTACGACAGAAGATGGAGATGTAACCTATTTCTATTACCCACATAATTAGTTAGTCCTGTAGAACTACTTCAATTTTTGCAATCGCTACAAAACTCAATTGGTTGAGCGTTTCCCTTGCAGGAAAAATAGTCAGGCATTTTTTAAGAAACAAAATAGTAGGAATTCAAGTCGTACAGGCGCTGGTATGTTTGAGTGGAAAATGTGAGATGAATTCAGTTCATCGTCTTCTCTATTTCTGTTCTATTGTTAAATTCCAAAGGAAACAAGTGGAAAGCAATGGGTCGTTGATTCACGAGTATTAACAATACAGATGCAAATTACTTCTAAACGAGTTAATGGCATATTCTTTTTTTTTTGCGGGGAAGTTAATTGTACATTCAGCGAGCTTAAATACTGACATCGATTTAATGGACAAAATTTCAAAATCCGCACAATTGTAATACATTTTTAATTTTTCGAAAGATCTATAAACACTATACTTGAAACTCCGAGGTACTGATCGAGTGTCAACTGTTTTTGCCAAGCTAAACGACATCATGAAGTTAAATGAAACTAGCTGGACCGCAACGATGCCTCGTGTTGAGACTTTGAGACAAATTAAACAGCAATGTTTTCCTCAAGGGATAATACTTGTGCGTGAATTTGGGTTTTGGCATATCGGCGGGGCTAAGGGTTCCAGGCCATTAAGCAGCCAAAATAAGAGATTTGCTCCGATCCAATAAAAAGTATTTCAAGGTACCAGTACCTCATGATACGGCCTTAAAATACTTTTTGCTGGACTGGAGCAAATCTCACAAAATAAATCACATTACTCCTGTAAATTTTCTCTTCTTTTTTTCTTTTCTCTGAGGCCTTAAGGGATCTTGTACAACTTTTTTATCTTTCTACTTGATACAGCTACTCCCCGCGTTCTCGTACATCTTTATAAAGAAAGTGTTAACATACACATCTTTATAACCGTCTGATAATATTATTTGAGGCATTTTAAAGAAAGTGCATAAAAAGAAAAGCAAAGGCATTATCTAAAATGCCTGGGAAGAAAAATTGAGGCATATGTTAAAATGCCTCAAAATGTGTTTAAAGGCAATCTAAAAAGTGCCTTCATCTATACTTATGAAGGCATTTTGAAAAGTGCCTTAAAAAATCCCTTTTCCTACAGCAGTATATCCAACACTTTGAGGATTGGAGGCATTTTTTTAAGTAGTTGAGGCATTCTTAAATGCCTTCAAATGCTATCCATCCTATAGTGTTTCTTATCTTCTACTTAATACAAGTACACCCCTCGGGGTTTCAAAGAAAAGACACTGCAGTTTCGCGGCAAAGAGCGGAGGATCGAGCTGCACACTATGAGACTTACAATACTGACTTTCTCCGTATGACGAAGCTGAAATTTCCCCAAGCCTCTCATGCTTATTGTTACATCCATGCATGCACACACGATTTAGCTTAGTTATATTCGGCCTCATTAATCACCAAAACATAGTAGAACGTATTTAAACATTCTAGCTTCTTCTTCTTCCTTGGCTAGCTAGCTATTTGCAGAGAAAATATACACCTTTTTTTTCTTGTTCAGTTGGTTAATATATAGACCCTATTGTAATAAAGCTGTCTAGCTACGCTTCTGGAGAATTGTTCAAACCCAGAAGGGTTTTTTGAGAAACACATGAAGCTGTATATATAAGCAAGGAGAGCATACAATACAGTCCTGCCATGCCATGCTGGGATTGCACTACAAATTCAAAGCATACAGTACATTTTTTTAGAGGAGATCAAATTTTGAAGCAGTGCCGCACTGTCTTGCAGGACAAAATTTGAGGCGTGCATAAAAGAGACCGGGCTACCGTTACAGAAATGGAACTCCTAGCTAGCCAACCGAGAAACACAAAGAATCTAAACAAAGCGGAATTGTTGGGGGATCGGCTTTGCCCTCCTCCGCTCTAGAAAACGGGCCTCCCTTTCTCTGAAGAAGGCTCTAAATTCGAAGGAAGCTTAGAAGGGGCCTCCAGAAACGATGGAGGCCAGCTGGGTGGCCTCTTCCTCGAGGAGGCTCTGTCGGAGGAGGCCCTCAGCTGAGTATTCATGGTGAGAAGATGGGTTATTAAGGGCACATTTAATGCCCACAACTATCTGCCGCTCTCTCGTAGGAAGCCCGCAGCTAAGCATTCATGGCGAGAAGATGGGCCATTAAGGGCACATTCAATGCCCACAACTATCTGCCGATACACTCGTGGTGGGAGCAGGTAGGGTGGATGTCAAGGCGCCTCGATCATGTAGCATGCCTCAGCATCGAGCTGTTCATCCCAGGATTCACGGTTTAATTGAGGCAACCATTTTTTTTGGCCCTCATAGGATTTTACCTTTTTGCCCCTTGGGCTAAGACCACTTGTCAGCCTCTTAGTACGTAGTAGGCGGAGGCCTGGGGTACCCTTGTAACTTTTCATACGATCCATGGGACTATACAATTGTAATTCATTTCCCAAAGGGAGCAGGAGCAAAAGTAATCCAGAAAACACACGATCCACTATTGATTCATGTTGGATTATTCTATTTCAACATTGACATCATCTATGGGGATCGGACAATATTATTTTTATGAACACGAAGTCGACCGCTCGAGAGAGAATGGCTCCGAAAAGATAGGCTACTAGTGCCGCAACACAGCACCCTAGGAGGGCAGCCTGTCACCTAGCCCGGTTGAGGCACCCGGTGCTCGCTACCTTTGGTGAAGTCGCTCCACAACGACGACAGCGCAACCGGCGGTAGTGAAACAAACGTGGGGCAGGGCTCGGCCCTGCCCTGCGAGCAGGATGAGGGGCCAGTCCCACCACCCATCCCTGCTGACTTGGCTGCAGCCATCCAGTCTCAGCTGGATGATATTGCAGTCAAAAGCCATCGGGTCGACACATGTGCCGAAGGACTCGTCACCTCTAAATTCCTGATGTCTCCAAGTCCCAAATATCCATTGCTATGGCATGAAGCTCTGAAGGTGAAGTGTGTTTTCCTACCTATGGCCATCTTATCTTCTTGGTTGATGGAGTGGCCCTGGTTGTCACTCTGCCTGCCAAATATATAGTGTACCCATTATTGATGAATAATGTTGATATTTACTGCGTACCAAACTCTTAGTCAGCAAAGGTACAACAAATTGATCCATCATCATGAGCAGTAGTTGGTTAATCATGATTCAGAATGAATAAATGTCACATTTAGGTTCTGATATGGGTTATCACGAGCCTATGCTTTCCAAATTTTTAAACGGTGTCATTTCTTTTTTTAAAAAAAAAAAGCTTTCTATATATAAATTTGATAGAATTCTCTTTTAAGATAACATTTTAAATTTGTAATAGTCGTTAATTTATTCATTCGTAGTATCAAATATTAGCACAAAACTAGTTAATCCATCATCCATTTAGCACTGTTTGAACTGGGCCTTAACCATGGAGTCTAGAACGATCGGACTGTCAAGCATGCATGTTACAGTTACACTGTTCAGTAAACAGTGAGAACGCTGATGTAGCTGAGAGTGAAAAATTAATGAGGGATGAGTTCATCCTCTTCTCTCTTCTAAATTCTGTTTTCAAATGACAAAGGGAAAGCAATGGTTAATCTGTTGCCAATTCTCTACGTAATAATATAATTCAGATACATCCTGACAGCGGTTTTATTTAGGGGCCAAAGTTTTATTCAGCGCAAAGCGAGGATGCAGGTACAAGTATATAAACGGCTAAATAAATTTCTTAAATTTGCCAGATGAAATGGCAAATTAATACTCCAAGTGACAGATCGCTGTTAAACAAACAATGCACATTGAAGTCGGTCGCGGAGAGTTCGTTCTAAAAACGTAACTTGGTAAGGTGGTGGTTCACCCAAAGCAGCGTGTTAGCAAACATAGAACAGCTAGGGGCCTAAGGGTTAATCCTATGTTTGTCTCCAAAATTACGTATAAATTATCTTAAATCATCATGTAATATTTTAGAAGCAAAATCAATAATCTGTTAGTTGAGTCCCAGATTAGCTCTAATCTTTAGCAGATTCTGGCTCTGTCACTGGTTAAAAGTACAGAGGATCTTGCTAACACCATTGTTCCAGTAACTTTTGAGTATAACAGTAAAGTCCCGCACTGATGCTCCTCATTCTTGTCTAGATTTGCCCAGTCGGCCCAAACTGAAATTTCCCGATGTCTCTCATGCTTAATTACATAATAGTTACATGTATGTTTTTGTTACTCTTTCAAGCTCGAGCCGCATGCATCTGGGGTTTCTCTTGAGCAGAGAAGAAGAGATCATGAAAGTAGTGTAGCTGTGTATATATAGACAAGAAGAACACTAGTTGATCACTAGCAAGGGTGGATCCAGCGTGGGTGTTGGAGGGACTCAAGTCCCCCTATCCCGCTGGATCACCATTGATAGAAGGAGAGAGAAAGGGGGGAAGAAGAGGGAGAAGAGGAAGAGTAGGGGGACTAAACAAAGAAGAAGGAAATGAATTCACCCTTTAATATTGTTCTGGATCCATGCCCATGATTACCTGTTATTGGGTTTAAGTTCTCAATCCATATTATTATTGTAGTTATGGCCGTAAAGAATTAATAGGAGTAAGTGTCAATGGTACAAGACTAGTTAATAAAGGGCATGTGACCATGCATGTGTGCTTAACTTTGGGATAGTGGTACGAAAAAGACATGTTTTTTTCTTTTACGTTTGTAAATTCTTAATCTTGAATCTACCGATTAACCGAGAACCATCCAACATATATGCCTGTACGTACGTTCAACTTTTAAAGAGAACAAGCTGAAAATGTATAATTTTACAAGCTACAAATTAATCAAGTTTATTAGTTCAGTGCACTATTTCACAACTTTGTGTAAAATTTTGAGGCCTCCTTTTGAATGGAGTATTTTAGAGAAATTTAATTTAATAGTATTAAAATAATTGCAACAGAAATCCTATAATTTTCTAATGTTTCAAAGGAGCCCTTATACCAGGGAACACTAAAGTTCAAGTGTCCTAATAATAATCCAACATAGAATTCCTACTCTCCTAATAACCATACAAGAAGAAACAAATTAACTAATTACCCCTCGAAATTCCTGACTATTCCGAACTTATTTTTATCGATAGGCATTTCTATCATTCTCCTCGTTTTCTCTCCCATATTAATGAAGGGCATAGTAGACTTTCATCCTCTTGCTTAATTTGTCTTTAACTAACTAAAACAACAGTCTTTTAGGGATGGTGCGGAGTATGAGTTTTGTTCCTTCATAATTTTCTCATCTTTGAGTGGCTTATGCTAGAACGGGGGCATCTCCTGCCGATCCAAGAGTGAGTGAGAGAGATGCATATTTCCATGATTACAAGAGATCGAGAAGCAATCCGGTATAGGAGCAAGTTGGCACATAGCTATATATGCAGTTGTCATCCAAGCCTTCTCCCCATCTGAAATGTGATACTTGCACATAGTACTGTAGCATAGAGCTGGAGTAAAGAAAAAGAAACAAAAATTAGGAGCTTATACAACAGAAAACAAATCTAGGAAAAGGTTACTTGCGTGAGAAAAAGGAATTAATGTGTGACCTCTAAATTTCCGATGCCTCTAAGTCCCATATCGTATGTACACAAAATGGACGAGCATCCAGGCAGAGAACGACACATTATATTGTGTTTTGCTCTAGCTACTAGCTTAATTATTGGTATCTTATATTCTTATTTGTTGACGATGGAAGAGAGGCGAAATTAAGCATCATCTCATCTGCAGATATACACATAGGTAGTGGCTCTTGATGGCACACTGCCTGACTTAGTGACTTTTTCCACCATGTGCAATAATTATGATTCTGAATTACTCCCTCCGTACTTGTAAAGGAAGTCGTTTAGGATAGCGACACGGTCTCCAAAACACAACTTTAACTTCTTGTTTCTATAAAAATATTTATTTAAAAGTGATATATGTATATTTTTATGAAAGTATTTTTCAAGACAAATCTATTCATATAACTTTTACCTTTTCAAACTCAATAACTTGAGAGTTATTTATGATTTATATTCTTAAGGTTTGACTTAAACATTGTCCTAAACAACTTCCTTTACAAGTATGGAGGGAGTACTTCCCCGTTGCAACAATTAAACCCGGCTTCATTTCTGAGAATAAAGACCAGATTTGATAGTAGCTACGGAGTAGTAATAACGACATGTAATTGATGCATCAACCGATTCACACGGTACATTAACCAGTAGAATTTTGTAAATTGAAGGCACAGATCCTCAATCACTACTTAAACAAGAATTCACCAGATTAACTAAGCCAGTTGAACTAATTCAATTTTGCCAATGCCTGCTAAACCGCTTCTGTAATTTTTTCTTATGTTTTAACAAGACACATTGGCTACAACATTGTGTAGTAATTCGCATTCAGGGCCGCACATGCTCGCGGTTACATATGGAGTATCAAAATTCACTTGGCTTAATTACTAACTCTGATAACTGTGCATAAGGCACTGAGATCGGCTAATCAGATGGCATTGAGATCCTGAGCCGTCGGTACTAGGTACCTCGCAGTTCTGGGAGTGAAAACGATTGTGATTCAGTAGAAAGAAGTTCATGTCCAGCAGGGGTAAGTTCAGACGCCTAAAATTGAAAACTCCTGATGTCTCTCATGCTTGACTCTGCATAAATATGAAGTAGCATCGATCTGATCAGGTACTTGTCGATACATATATTCTTCAAGAGAACAGAGCTAAGAGATGAGAGCACTATATTCTTCGGAAGAAATCAGATCGAGCTATATATATAGTCCCTACTGGTACTCCCAATTCAATTAATTATCACGATATATATATGCACATTTATGCGATTACCTAATCGTACATGCAGTGATAATGGTCCTTACATTTTAATCTGGTCGCATCGATTTGAAGATATACGGACAGAAACATTTCCTGGACCAAACAAAGATGTCCTCAATTAGTAGCACTAATGGCAACCTGATCTGATCTGACTAACTTCATGAAAAAGAGTAAAGAGTAACGTGAACTCTATGCATTTTGCCCTAGCTTCTTAATAACTTGCACTCCCTCCGTTTTTTAATAGATGACGCCGTTGATTTTTTCTCACATGTTTGACCATTCGTCATATTTAAAAATTTTATGCAAATGTATAAGATATAAATTACACTTAAAGTACTATGAGTGATAAAACAACTCATAACAAAATAAATTATAATTACGTAAATTTTTTGAATAAGACGAATGGTCAAACATGTGAGAAAAAGTCAACGGCGTCATCTATTAAAAAATGGAGGTAGTAATAAGCTAAGATTATCTTCTCTTGGAACGTAACGTTGCAGGTAACTATAGAGAGAAGTAGAAACTAGCTGGTCAATTGCTAGCTAGCTTAACATGTCAGGTGCGATGCCGACCAATTGTCAGCAAATATTCCGGAACAAGTCTCAGAAAAGTGCACATATTTGGGATCGACTGCTCAACTCACTGATCCCAAATGACGAGTCTCTTCCAGCTATATAGACGATTTATGTGTTGTTCCTCTACATCTGAATCATATGCACTGGAACCAGCGCTGTGAGAGGCACGGAAGCAGAACAGTTTGCTCAAGGATTTTACCGTGGCTCATCAGATATGCAGCCACTGAACATTCATATTCCCCTTGTCTCTCATACCTAACAGTTTATAGCTTCTTTGCACAGGCCGATCGATGTAGTTTAAACAGCCACAATAATATGAATTTGTCTGAAACTCTGTAGTCTGTACACATAAACATATGGAGTACTATATCTTTATGATGGCACAACGCTTGCTAGCTTGAAGACTAAGCTGGTGGCAAACGTCAAGCCTATATATTTGCGACTGATTTGTATTGATTGTGCAGGGTTATTTTGTAAAACATTTTCTAGTTTAATTATTTTTTAATTGGAAATCTATATTCATGTACATGCACAATGGATTATTCCAGCCTATATATACATAAAGTTGGTGTGTAATCAAGGAAAGTGCATTGATTATTTTTGCTAGAAATTTCATTTGTGTGTAGTACCATTTTTTGTCTATATAAAGCCAGCATGACTCAGACTCATGACTCTAGCCTACTCTACTGCCAGCGCTTGCTATCGTCCGGGTAGTCTTGGTCTTAGCCATTTTTTGTGTTTTCTTTCATGTACTTAGAGCCACCAGATTTGTTTTATTGGAGGTAGATGATATAATTGGCTTGGGAGGCATTGGTAACATGAGAAGTATTGGGTAGATAGAGAGAAGCCTGGCATCAATTTTATTAGGAAGGAAATATGAACATACTCTCTAGTATTGGGAACATAGGATCAAGCCAGCACAACAAATCTGTCCATGAATTGCTGACCATGCAGTAGGTAACATGGAAGAACTATCTACTGCGAACAGGCGAACGGCGATGGGTACATCTTCGTCAACGATCTTCAGCCAGGGAAGTAAATATCACGCTGAAGGGTTAATTTGATCCATGTCACTCTAAATTTGCCGATTTGAAAAAATGTCACTATTATTTGTGATATCGGCTGAGTGCCATTGGGTACGAGTCCGGGTCAGGTAACGGCTAGGTTGGCCTGTGGAATCTTTCACAACTGAAGATGCCCGCTCCTGATCAAGTTACAAGAGACAGAGCAGCGACGACCGAACTATTGTCATACCGGAGGGAACAAAAACGGAATTTTGTAAAATTGAAACCATGTCATTGCCGTCACATTTTTTTTTATCTTCTTCCTTCTTCTCTTTTCTTCTTCTCCCCGTCAGCAAACTCTTTGATGCGGCGGCGCACAGGCGGCATGGGCGGCAGTGTCGATGCCCAGATCGGGACGGACTAGGGCAGTGCACATCGAGCATGGTCGTCGTCCGGTCCTTAGGTGGATCGAGGCAGTGCAGTATGACGACGGGCTCCTACATTCTTCGGAGGCGGTGGGGCTGGCAAGGTCTATAACGACGCAGATCAAAGGCTGACGGGGCCAGCAAGCTCCATGCTCCGCCCGCTGTCTTCAGGGCCGGCTCTACAATTTTGAGGGCCCTAGGGCAAACTTGACAACATGATCCTTAACGCTCTCTCCCCTATAGAGAGACGTGTTATATGTATATTCACATTTTTTGGGTTGTTCAGATTAATGTCATTTTGTCGGTGATATGGGACCGGGAGTATCATGACCAGAGGCTTGAGGCAGACGCAATCGCCCACGTGGCCTGGCACCTTCGGGGACGTCGGGCCCGAGGGTGAGGTGTCCGCCCTCCTCCTGATTTCCCCCGAGGGGGGGGGTCGGGTTGCGCTTGCCCCGGCCCCGAGGGCCGAGGCACCCCGACCCCTTAAGGAAGTCTGCGCCACATATATGGGATAAGTGAGCACAGCTGTGCTCACCTAACAGCATTTATTGCAGTCTGGTCAAGCGTGTCACGCTGCATGCAACGCAGTACAGCGCGTTCCTTTATCCGGTCTGTGACCAGTCACAGACCGGTCAGATCACGGGTTAGGTGGCGGCTGGCGGTCTGACGCACGCCTTGCCCCATCCCGTCAAGACGAAAGCCTCTAGGCACTCGTCTCAAGCCGGAGCTAGGGTGTTATCTCTTAGAGATGGCACGTTAGCCCTGGTCAGATTTATACCAGGCTTCATCCTAACCATTACAGGCAAGGTGTTACACGAAGAAGGGCAAACATGCACGTTGTTAAGCTGACGCGTGGTGGACAAGAATGACCGGTCTGGCACTGGTCGCGTCATCGACAGACAGCCACGGTCCCGCGTCATCTCTGTCTTCGGGGGAGGTGGGGGTAGGTGTGGGCTGTCCCATCAGAAGGGCTCCCGGACAGCAACCGTGCTGATCTCCGCCCATTCAAGAGAAAAAGAACAGTCCAGTTTGGAAAGAGAAGGGTGCATGTGGTATCCCCTTGAAGTATAAAAGGAGGACCTTGCCCATAGAGAGGGGGTTGGTTGATTCTTTCCCAGATTATGAGCTTAGAACGGGGGAGAAGTCAGCTCACACTTGTAGCTCATTCATACGCAGATCCACCAAAACACAGGAGTAGGGTATTACGCTTCTCAGCGGCCCGAACCTGTATAGATCGTCGGTGTCTCGTGTTTTCTGGCTGGCATACGATATTTCCACATACAGAGAGAGTGAGAGCTTGAGATTTCACCCTAAGCCCCCGGCCGAACTGGCAAAGGGGGGCCTGCGCGGTCTCCCGGTGAGGAGCCACGAGCTCCGTCATCTGGCGCGCCAGGTAGGGGGCTCAGCGTGTGTTTTCTGAGCTCTCATACTCTTCCGTGTGCGCCAAGTTTCCCTTGTTCTGCCTAATGGCCGAGCAAGCGAAGGCGCACGACCTCTCTCCGAGTGTGAGCGGCGACGACGGGGAGCCAAACCCACGCCGTCGAGCTCGTACTCCCCCACCTCCACACCAAAGTCCTAAGCAGGGGGAGGCGCTCGAGAGGGTTGATAAATCCGCAGCATCACCGGTCGCGGGTGATGCAGGAGAACGGCGAGATGGGGAGCGACGCCTCCTCGTCTACGGCGACGGCAGCACGCCTCAGGGCGCGCTTCAGGCTGCTGGCGCGCTCCTACGTCACCCGCCCGTCGTCCATGACCCTGAGTCTCCAGCTCAGCGATGGCTGGACAACGTGGCCAACTTGGTCATGACGGCCCAGCAGCGCCTGGGTGCTGGTGGACGGTCCGCCACCACCAAGACCTCCGGCGCCGCCACCACCGGTTCCGTGTCATCAAGGCGGAGGGCGCGGCGAGCGGCGGCGGCTGCACGTCATTCGGCTGCCACTCCCTCGTCGACACCTTCGACTCGGGAGGATCA